TACAATTTCACATTTGCATTAGAATAAGAATAGATTGAAACGATCGATGACTATTTCTTGATAACACTTTATAGATGACTGATTGATATTTGCTTGAGACTGTTGCGATCATCCGGAACGAACTCGATGCAGGAAATCCGAGGTGATAAACTAAGAGACTATCTCATCGCGCTCATCTCCCCGTTACGAAACTGAAAGTCCTCCACTTCCTGCGAGGAAGTGTTGTCCTCGAACAGAGAAAGGGAACCACCGAAATGACTTTGACCCGAATCATTCACTTTTTCGCGACTTTCTTTTTTTTTGTCTATCCGATTATCAAATCACAAATTCCGACACATTCTACTTTCAATAACGACTAAACTAATCATTTAATAAATAAGAATTAAATATTTGACAAGTTATTTTCGAATTGAAATAAATGTAAGTGGATTAAGTTATTGACTGAGTTGAAAAGAATTCGGGTTGCAGTGGCTGAGCACGTTGACTTTAATGCGTGCTATTAGCACCTTAAATACTGTGCAATAATTCATACTTTCTCATTCCACAGCAGATTCAAAGAAATCCCACTTGTCCCATTGAAAACCGTCGATTCTTCCATTGAAACCATCCTCCTCTTCCTCCTCCATGCTTCTTTTTACAATCTAAGTGAAAATGGATTTTCAGTTTTATCTTCCTATTAACTGAGATTGATAAAAATTCGTTTTACGTAAATGTTTAGAAAATGTTCACCTGTAAACGGATGATGCTTCCTGAACGCTTAGATGAAAGTTCGTTTGACCATACGTGTGTGATTTATGGACGGACATAATACGGAGATCCCATGGTGTTTTCTCTTGATTGAAATCACTAATTACTTTCTTCCTGCAAGGGTTAATGTAATATGTTCATAACTCCAGGATTGAAAAGCAGCCCCTAGAAGAATTGTAATAACTGTAAGATACCATAGCGTCACCCGTTACGTAAAACACAGGAATTACTGAGGCAATGCCTTCCCGACAGAAGGTATTAGATGAATTTAGAAAGCGGTTGTTCTCGATCAAAAATTGAAGGTACCTATCGATGAGGACAATGAGCATACTCGAAGGGTTCAGAGTTCAGGGACGATGGGAGGTTGAAACTTGGGGGTGTCCGGCGAGTCAAGTTCGTGAGGAAAAAGAAATAGGAACGAGACCGTTCTCGGTGACAGTGGCGAAGAGAAAGAGAGAAAGAGATTCGCCGGTGGGTCTCATCAGCATAGGTGATGGGTCGAGATGCGAGTGGGGCCAGGGCCGGTATAAAAGGGGCACCGTGGCATCTGCGGAGCATCAGTCCTCAAATCCAAGGAACAGCAGCAACCATGAGGGCATTCATGGTGAGTCGAATATTCCTTTCTCTCTCGTTCTTTCTTATCGTCCTCTTCCCATCGTCTGGTGCTGGCTCATGTGCGTCGCTCGTCTCTTCGTTGGATCCGTTCCGATTTATATAATAGAAAATTTCTGAAATTTCATTCATCGGTTACTGTGTTTATCTCGCGAGTTCCTATTCTTGTGCGGTCTTCATTCTCTTCATTTTTTTTTTTTTTGTTTTAAGAAGTTCTCGGTGTGATTGTAGTTTCGATGTCAATGAAAACTGTCGACGGGTAGACAAATGCTAAGTTAAAATTATCTCGGTGTGAAAGTACATGCGTAGTACGTGAGACAGTAGAGATGAGACAGGAAAGGAGGATGTCTGTGGGGAACATAGAAAGGGAACGGGAGAAAGTAGATGCCAGTGGGGATGATGACCGGCACAGATGCAATTCAATGTTCGACGCGTCTGATTATCGCGATGACAAACGATTATGAAAGTCACCAGCGATTACTTTCCAATTTCGTGTAATCCCACTTCCTGCATTACGTTTTTGTTTTTCGTTACTATTCCATGTCTGTGCGTACAGATTCTGTCGTCTGACAATTTTCAATTTGCTATCCAATCCTCTTCTTCAATTTTTATTTCTTCTTCAATGCTGTTCTATATCTCTTCATCCAGATTTTATACTATTTGACAATTTTATTTAAATTTATCCTTGCCAACGATTACTTTTCAATCCTCTTCTTCATTTTTGTACTTCTTCTTCACTGCTGTTCCATATCTCTTCATCCAGATTTTATATTGTTTGACAATTTTTAATTAAACCTATCGTTGCCAACGATTACTTTTCAATCCTTTTCTTCATTTTTGTATTTCTTCTTCACTGCTGTTCTATATCTCTTCCTCCAGATTTTATATTTTCTGACAATCTTCAATTAAATCTATTGTTACTAGTGATTACTTTCTAGTCTGATTTAATCAAATTGTGTTCTTTACTTTTACATATCTTCTTGACTACTCTTTCACGCCTGAGCATTCACATTTTGTATCTTCAGACAATTTCTAATTAGAATTATTGTTCCCAGTAATCACTTTCCCATCTCATCTAATTAAATCTTCTCTATATTNTAGTCTGTGCATCCAAATTCTATGGTTTCTGACAATTTTTTATTCAGTCTTCTTCTTCTTCTTGCCAGTGATTTACCTGTGGATCCAGCTTCTATAAATTCTGACAATTTTTAATTACATTTATCCTTAATAGTAATTACTTTCCAATGCTTCTCTTAATTTTTGAATTTCTTCTTCATTATTAATTATACAATATCTCTTCTTTCTAAATTATTTCCACTCAACACTATTCCGTTTTCTTATTCTTCTAATTCCCAAATTCTATCTATATACTTCCATTCTCTAAACAGTTCTTACATTCCCTATATATCAATTTTTAGATCGTGGTGCTCGCCGCTTCGGCGATGGCGCGACCAGAGGCCGGCTACTCGTACTCTCAGCCAAGCTCCAGCTATGGTGCACCCGGAGGTGGTGGCGGCACCGGAATCGGTGGCGGCCTAGGCGGTGGCGGCGGTCTCGGAGGTGGCTTCGGCGGTGGCATCGGAGGTGGTTTCGGCGGTGGCGGCGGCGGTGGCTTCGGAGGTGGTTTCGGCGGTGGCGCTGGAGGCGGTTTCGGCGGTGGTGCCGGAGGCGGTTTCGGCGGCGGCGGCGGCGGTGGCTTCGGAGGCGGCTTCGGCGGCGGATCTCTGATCCAGAAACATATCTACGTCCACGTACCGCCACCAGAAGCCCCTGAAGACAGACCGGCGAGACCCATCGCGCCTGTAGCGCCCGCGCAGAAACATTACAAGATCATCTTCATCAAGGCGCCCACTCCCCCGACCCCGACTGCTCCGGCTATCCCTGCTCTTCCTCAACAGGATGAACAGAAGACGTTGATCTACGTTTTGGTTAAGAAACCAGAAGAAGCGCCCGAGATCACTTTGCCCACTGTCACGCCCACGCAGCCCAGCAAACCGGAAGTTTACTTCATCAAATACAAGACCCAGGTAAGAGCTCTTTATACATATA